GTTTACAATGCTGCGGTGCGCTCCATATTACTATATGGATCAGAAACCTGGCCGCTGCGCGCCGAGGACGTCAAAAGACTTTCAGTGTTTGACCATCGATGTCTTCGGAGCATTGCCCGAATCTGGTGGGAACACCGGATCAGCAATTCTGAAGTACGTCGAATGGTATTCGGGAGAAATAACTCACCCTCGATAGATAAATTGATCACACTGCACAGGTTGCGTTGGCTTGGCCACGTGCTGCGTATGCCAGTCGACCGACTTCCTCAAAGGGCTCTTTTCACCCAACCATGCTGTGGCACGCACCGCTCTTAACTTACCATATTGGTTTTCTACTTTTGTCAATCAGCTAAGTGATATGTTCCACTTTTATCTCTAATGCTAGGAAATAAAAAGCCACTCAGCTATCAGGCGTGATGTGCTAGCATTAGCTTACGCTGCTGAGTTTAGCCCTGTGTACAACATAAACTCTAAGCCACAGTCTTACCCGCGAACCTGAAATGGATGCCTCCTTTTCCAAAGCGAACTGCTGAAATATACGAAAAAACTCCAGTTGACGATTCATCGAACCGAACGAGTGTGCTCTGCATAGAGGAGCAATTTCACAAACAATGGAGAACTTCCGTAAACAAGCTTGGTTGTGTAAGGAAGGTCGGTAGTAGAGGTAAGTTGCTCTACACTGCAATGTAACATCGACTTGCGTTTTTGAGACTCACCGCCCATGTCCGTTGCTACTTGTAAACAGTAATTATACGAGTGTAGGAGCCGTTTTTCCGTGGATCAAAGTGCAGACTAGAAACCGAACTACTTCAGATTCATCAGTGTCTGAGCTGATAGCTCATCGGATCGAGCTGTGCTTACATGCCGGTACATATGGTCTGTGGGTCTCTCCCATCAGAGGATTCTCGAGTTTTCATTTGCTTTACCTATACCTGGTCTTTAAATCCTCCGTCGTAATTATTTTCTGCCAGCAGCTATATGGGTGCCTGGGTCATCTCAGCCTCTGTCACAGCCTACTTCGGTCGAGAGGTTCACCAGTGCTACTGATTACTAGTCCATTGGGTTTTGCTACTTGGATTTTCAGTCGGTATGTGGGCCAGCATCTGGGGCCACCCATATGGTAAAAACACGTATTCCATGTTTTATTCGATGGAAGGTTTTAGGGACAACGGGCATCAGGAATCTGCATCTGAGACGATAATGCAGATGGGCAAACGATCCTCAAAATCAGTTCACCGGTGGATGAAGGCTTATGTAGTGCACATTGATGGAGTATGAGCTCACTGCGGACTCATGAGGAGCTCATTATGGGTGAATGGCAAAGAACACGACAAGAGGTGGTCCTGTGACTAAGGCTCGGACGTTCTGACCGGAAGGTCTGTGGGGTCCAAACTTGGTATCTCCACTCTTCCTGTCTAGGCTTGGGTAGCCTTGCAGTATCTTGCTTCATGCTTCCGTCGAGTGACATGGTAGCTAGGGACCGAAGGGGTGTTACAATTAACTTATTATTTCATTCACACAACACGTAAGTTATTGTTTCTAAGCTGGATGAGCTGGCGCAGTCACTGGCTTTTTCCACCGGGCTTTATCTCGAACCCATTTCTAAATAAATGAAATGGTTCCTAGTTATTTGTCCGTTTAGGTGGTCCTCGGTCTTTCCGTAGACGAACTGCGGCTAAAACAGACTGAAATCGTCAAGTGGCCAGGTCAGGGAATTAAGTTCCACTGAGGTAGCTGCAGGGAAACTACTCACCTGTTGATAACTCCATGCCCTTATCCTGCAGATAGTTGATATGCCTCAGTACGCTGCAACTTTCTTCGACTCCCTGCACTGGATGACTGAATCAGTGAGCGACCGTAGTTATCGTAATCGAACTCGCACAATTTAATGACAAGCTTAATGACAGTTTCCAACAGGCGTCAACTTATCTCTCCACCTACTCGCTAACTTATCAGTAGTTCGTCCTACAATCTCATACAGAACCCTGTTCTCTATTTTCATAACAGTCTGCAGTCACAAATGGACACCCGTCGTTAGTATGTAAACGTCCCCTCCTTTTGATAGCCGCGAATAAGAAAACGCGTTACGTTCCGGTGATTTAACAGGTCTTGTCAGCCATTAGCACCGTACGCTAGTCAGTACTCTAGATTACTGGGGAGGATTTAGTAGCTGTTTTGAAAACAAACTCTTGGGTTGGAATCGACCTTCGACTTCCCAGCAGGGCGCTCGATATCTCATCTGATAACGCACCTATCCGAGGAGCGATGAATTTTCGGTTTCATTTATTTTATACCACATACATACTAGGCTTAGTCAAACGTACTCTGGATGTTAGGCATCCTAATATGTGCAGCGTAGCTCGCCCCAGACAATTAAAATCGTTCCTAGGAGGCGCGAGCAACGTCTAATGAAAATGAAAACACCCAGGAAATGAGCACTGGCGGGAGAAAAACATAGCCTTTGTTAATTTTAGCATCAAAATGCAGTTACTGCTACTTCAAGAGACCAACCTTTACAAACCGCTCCTGATA